CGTGATACGCGAGAGCGGGGCCGTACGCGAGTTGAGCTCGTAATGGCTGTCTCCGTCCGACTGGTCTGGTGACTGGCTGATGTTTGTAGTACCAAAGTTTGAGCTTGACCAAGGATAGTTGGATACGCCCGTGCTGGCTGAGCGTCGGTGCAGCTCAAAGCCACGGGACGGTGGCGACTCGATGGGCGTAGCCGCGGTTTCGATAATTTCGATCGAGCTCGGGCGGCTGATGTACGAGCTACGGTCAGATGCAGTTCGACGAGGAATAGCGCGCAAGTTGGAGGTGAGACGCTGCTGCGAGTTGGATGAAGCCGTGCTAAAGCTGGGCCGTTCAGGGGTGCGCGTTTGCGAAGCAGCAAATGCGCTGGACAACGGGGACACGGCTAGCCAATAGTCAGCATTGAAAGATGGCAACATGTAAGACGCATGCTTACTATGCCTCACGGGAGCCGTCTGGGTGCGGCTCGGCGTCCGAACGTGCCCAAACTTCCCACCCGTATGATAGTCCACACTCGCCGTCCTCCCTAGCGGCAAGGCAATCCTCGGTCCGCTGTTTTCATACTCGTACCCGTCCTCCTCTTCGTCCTCCTCGTCGCCACGACCCTCTCGACTCGTCCGCTCAGCCTCCCAAGCGCGTCGCTGCGCTTCCCCACGCGCAAACCTTCTCTCAATCGCCAAGCTCTCTCCGTACGCGGCCAACTGCTCTGCGAGCGACGGCGAGTCGGGCCCCTGCGGTCCCGGCTCGAGAATCTCACGCTCAGCCTGGCGAACGAGATCTTGGGCCTGTTCAAAGGTGCTGACCGAACGGAGGTTGAGCGGGGTGATCGAGCGTCGTTTGCCATCGAGCACGGCATGGACTTCCTCGAGTTCATCCAGGTCGTCTGCCTCGAATACGGGTGAGAACGTCATTGTACCCTTGTGGAGAGGCAGCGGTGACGTCGCACTATATAGAGATGGGATAGTCATATTCGTGTCGGTCGTGGCCATTGAAGACGACAACTGGTTTGTGTTTTCGGATGACGTTGAAGAGAGAGAGTCTCCACGAAACCGGCTGTCGGGCGGTTGGAGGAGCGAGCCGTCTTGAGCGTTCTGCTCAGCCTCTTGTCCCTGAAGTTGGGGTGCCGGATCAGTCGTGACTGGCGCTGAACCCGCAACTGTGCTCTCCCCGCTGCTCGGCATTGTTTCTTCTGGTTGCCTGGGCAAAAATGAGCTGAAACTGCTGGATGCCCGAAGCCCGCGACGCGTGATAGAGCTTCCGGATATGGATCGTACATGCGTATGACCGCCAGGAGAGGGTGCGTGAGAGCGTACGGGGGACGTAGCGGAGGGAACTGACGTCGTCGACGTGGCTGCAGAAGTCATCAATGATGGGATATTTGCGGGAAGCGGGAGACTGGGCATCGAGGGGCTGGTAAGTCTGCTCATCCCGGCTGTGCTGAATCCAGGCCTTGTCGGACTGCAGTGTGATGACGATCGAGGGTGAAGCACTCGTTTGACTGGGGTAGGATCGTCTCGATAGTCTTCAATATCACCGTCATCATCTCGGACCACAACTCGGCCATCCCCGGACTCGTCATCGAGAAAGTCAAACTCGGGGTCAGGATGAAACTCGCTCGCCTTGCGACGCTGCCGCACCACACCCTTTTTCGTGCCAACGTTCGAGTTTCCTTGCGCCGCCAGAAGCCTTGCACTCGGCGCCTTGAGACCCATCTCCACCGCTACCCGCTCGCCACGCCTGAATTCCACCTCTTCTGCCCAATCCACCTCTACACGCTCCGCCGAATCCCAGCCTAAATCGTCCTTCTTTGACCTCCCAAACAACTTTCGCACGCGATCTTTGCCTCCACTCCAAGTCGTTCCAGCGCTCCGCGGGCGTTGCGATTTCGAACCAGGCAACGTACCAGACGGTGTCGGCAGACTCGGTCTGCGCGAATCATTGTTCGGGGGGCCGCCAGCCAGAGGCGGGAGATACCCGAGCTCACCGAGCTCCGACTGACTCTCCCCGGCACCGAGGTCGACCCCGCTGCTACCCGACCCGAGCTCCCCACCGCCTGCAGTCAGATCGATGCGGCTGACGCTATGATCAAGTCGACTGAGATCGAGTCGGCTTCCTCCCCATGGACGACGGAAGAGAGTCTCGAGCGACCGTTTGACTTGGATGCTGCGAGAGGTCGGTCCGATGCTGGGTGTGGAAGGGGACGTTGGCTGGTTGCTTGGGGGGTTCGAGGCCGCCCAATCGCGGAGGATAGTAGCGGCTGCTGTCTGCATTGGGTGAGATCGATGCTATGCCCTAAAACGCCCAATACACACCTGCCCAAGATTCTCGGCAAGCATCAATGGAGTGACACCATGCTTGTCGGCCTTTTCATAATCGGCCCCGCATCTCAGCAAGAGCGTCAAGACGTCCACATGACCGTTGGCGGCCGCAAAATGCAACGCGGTGCTCCCTCCAGTCCCAATGTGTGCACCACCTGATGTATTGCAGATACTCATTGTACTCCCGCTGGCGCCTGCGCCTGCACCACCTTTACTTCCCCCGGCGCCAAGCTTCCTGGAAAGCCGGCCGGCATTGATGTCAGCTCCAGCATCAATGAGCATGCGGACGACACGGGTGTTCCCACCGCTTGCCGCAGCATGAATAGGAAGAACGCCATCAAGGACTGCATTGGTGGGCTGACCGTTTGTCAAAGCGAAAGACACGAGGCCGATGTTGCCAGACGCAGCTGCAGAATGTAGGCCATAGTTTGGATCTAGGCGAGGTGAGACGGGTGGTACGTCACAATGAGAAGGCGGCAGAAATTGGGTTGACAAAAGTCCAGGTGAGATCGTGGACGGAGGCGGCGGTTTGTTTGATATAGCGTGAGAAAGTGTATGCGCGCCAGGGGCAAGGCGGGGGGACAGGGTCGGGAGTCGATCGGAGGATAAATCGTAAATTCGACGTAAAATGAAGAGGGGTCAGCTGGGCAGAGCGCTCAAAGAAAAGACGTACATTCAGTTGTTACATTGTATTTCGCCTCTGCCTTTTGCACAGCGCGCGACGAGGAGATGGCCGGCATCGCGAGCAGCAGACGAGGGGCAGAGCCAGCGAATCGAGATGGGCTGAGCGCGGGTTTTGAGAGCAGCAGGAAGCGAAGGTCCGGCGGCTAGCGGTGGAGACTGTGGGGGCAATCTACTCGTCGGGTGTGCGGACGTTAAGAGGCGGGCTTGGTCCGATTTCTGGTGGAACTGAGCCCGAACAGTTGAATCAGGAAATCAGCGGCGACGGCGCAGATTACTCACCAGCTCAGTCCAATCGATGTCCCAGTTCTGTCACAAAGCACTTGTGCGCACCACCAGTGGTGGAGCGCCGTTGGAGATGACGTCGTCGGTGGTGCCGAGCTCGTCGGGGCCGCGGCCGGGAGCGCACTCTAGGATGGTGTGCGCACTCGTGGGGGTGGTGGCGGGGAAAGGCTCAGGCGGCCTGGTGTGGCCGCTCGAGTTATTATCCATTGCGCTCCGGCTCTTCGGGGATTCAGGGTCCACCACGCACCACTAGCGCCGAGCACCACCCCCCTCTTGGTGCTATGGCGACACGTGTGGCCTCCTATGTCCATCTAGTCTATACGTGCTATACATGTACTGCACACCTACAACGGCACCTGCTGCGCCCGACCCAGCGCCCAATCCAATGCCGTCGACTTATCTCCTCGAAATGGCAGCTTCTAGCCCGCTTTGCCGATCCTGCCCTCGCTCAGCATCGACGCCGATCCCAGCGACTGCTCCGAAGATGATCCTCCTCGTCTACTTCTGGCGCAAAACACCACTCGCCAACTCAGCACACCGGTCGCAGAATCAACCGTGCTCTAAAACACCGAGCAGTATCGACCCATCGATCGTCATCGACCACGTCCATGCTGCTACCATGAGCATACAGCCACCTGGTACACATGCGGCCCTCTTGTTCTAGACACTTGATTATGTATTGAACAGCCTTTCCCCACATGGTAGACCTCGAGCGCTCAACACGCAACAACGCGCCCATATCGCAGCTGATGCGAGACGACCGACAAGTGTGATGCAAAGGTCGTGCAAAATTGCTGCACATGGATCCGACAAAATTCAGGCCGGCTGTTGTGGAGAGTTGTTCGAACACCGGTGCCTCACGTGCGTCATTTCAGCGAGTTTGACTCTTGTACCAACGCGGTTGGTGGCTCGCAATTCAATTGCTCCCGGCGGCACTTGGGCGTAAATTGTATTTCTGTATTCGTGTGTAGAAACATTCTGTAGAATACTTGAATCGTATGTTGTTCTCCGTCTGATCACGTACCTTTGTCCCACTTGGAACTAGCCCACCCCGGTAGGTAAAGATATACCCCATTTGTCGATTTTGTGGCACGATCTCTGCTTATAATCTAGCCGCTGACATGTCCACATGGCGTGGCTAGACCTCTTCTAGGCTCCTCCGGTGCGGAGCGGGGATTTTTTCGTTCCCACTGGTTCGCGCCCGAGAAGCAGCGCGAGCATGGACTGCCAGAAATTTGGGGCGACGGTGTAGAACACCATTTCGACGTCACCCCAGTCATGGCGGGTACAATGTCGCATATGAGGCTCCAAGCTTGCATCGGTGGCGTTTGAAGTGGGCCGCCGGTCGTCATACGGACGCCGTTCTGTCGAGCTGGTATCTCTTTCAGGTGTATCATGCAAATGTCGTGCGCTTGGGATGGGCCGAGGCTGAAATGCTGGGGTGAGGAGCCGGGTCACGTGCCTGGTATCAGATGCGAGAGCCGCGTGGAACGCTCAAGTTTCAGACACCGTATCTCCGCGGAAACTTGTCGGATTCGGACGAAATTTGGTACAGAGATGGCCAATAGATGTGTGAATGTCCCCGTCATGTTTCAGGAGAGCATGAAAACTCGTTCAATGTCAAAAGCCTGAAAACCTGTTCTTTTCGCCCTTGGACGTTCTAGACGTCGTTGAAAGCATTAAAAGATATCTTTTGACGTGGTAAACGTCAAAAAGAATGCCACGAACCCGGCTTGAACGGGTGACCTGTAGATGTGCGGCTAGTTTCAATCCGGGTTCACCGGAAGAACTATCTTCAGTCTAACGCTCTCCCAACTGAGCTACCGCGGCGTTATAAAGAGCCCCCCATTATCATCTATAATAAGTTTATATAGTCGATCATATGCGTGGCTATCTACTGCTCCATTGTTATCCAATCCTTTACCGTGCCCGTAGCAAATTCACCCAGAGATGGACAGCCGAAGCCCCTAGACCTGGGTAAAGGGCTATTCGGCGTAGGACAAGAACTGAATCGTACATTTGTAGCTTTACTTATTTGAAAATATAACGTAGGGGTACTTGAAAACGCATACATGTGCTTTTGCTAACGCGAAGATAGAGTAGCACCATGGGGTGTATGCGTGTCACTACACGCCACGTGATTTCACGCCTACCAGTCGATTGAAGATCAGCACACTTAAATGCCCCTCAATCACCGTCGCTGTTATGTTCAAACTATTATATTGATAACCTAGTGTTCTAGAGATTTTGTTTGTGCTGACGGAAACCCGGCTCCTTGACATGCATTGTCTACCTCATCGTGAGAAAGTGAGAAACGTCGACAACCAGCCGGCAAATCCGCTCGTTACGATGAGCTAACTCGATTATCTGTTCATAAATAAGTATTACTGCTGTTTTCATCAGTCTCTCTGATTACAAGAAAATAAACGAGGGTACAAAAGACTACTTCGACAAGCACTCCGCAACAAGACTAGCGGTCTAGCATGTAAATAAGATACCGTATTACACAGGGGCGGGAATTTCTATATATATATTTATGCTAATGTTGGCTTCAGTCCTACCTTCGATCGAAAGGAATGTCCCCTTGAGTATGCAACAACGGAAGCAACTACCAAATCACAGATGAGCCGTGCGCTTAATCATCCTCTGAGTGGTTCTGGCCAAGGGGGCTATTACAACAATTTGACTGGCTTTTGTCAAAACAGATACACGACGATGAAGTAGCTTGCAAGGACACGCGATCCTAACCTTTTGACGACTCAAACGAACATGAAAATGGAACAAATGTCCAAGAAAATGCTGGGCAGTTTACCAGCCCTCACCAGAAGCGAACATGATCTGGACACGGCTGAGGTTCGTGATCTTAATAAAACTTCCGGTCGAAATGTCGGAAAACGAAGAGAAGCCTTGAACGTCATTTTTGGGCTTCTCGATATGTATTCTATCTGATACAATTCAGGCAAACAGCAGAGAACTGTGTAAGGCTCGAAGAGCCGAACTGTCGAGGACGAGGGTCTTGGCGGTGTCGAGGCTCAGGAGAGGAGCGATGACTTGCTAAGTACTCGTATTCGAGAGTAGAGGTGAGGAACTGTAGGTAAAGGACGAGGCTCTTAAATACACGCATGAAACCGTTACATGTAATAGATAGGAGAAAGAGACCGTGGTTAATCAGATAGATAAGATGGGCACAGCCGGAGGCTGTGCTGTTTGTGTGAGTGCGCGCTCGCACCTCACAAACTGACAGTTACAAGAAAGTATTGACGAGAAACATATTTGGAAACAAGGCACGTCTGTATCGACATCGATTAGGAACAAAGGCCGTGATTCTCGCTTTTCAAACTTGCCCTACATATGCGCGCGGCATCTCCAACCGGCTTCGAATAGTCCCCACACCCGGCATCAAAAACGCTGAGTCGATACGCGAGTAGACATGAGATGGTAACTTGCATACAGTCAAGTCCAAGGTTGATGCCTGGTAGGTTCTAACGTCTGGGTGGCAGGATCGAGCCGATGAGCTTCTGAGAAGCGACAAAGCTACTCAAGAGGCGGAGCGCAGGAGGAACATACATGACTCGAGCTCGTAAATGCAAATCCGAATCTATGATAGCTTCACCTGAATAGGCTCCAAGTTGTATCACGACTAAACTCCCCATTATTTTGAGATACATATATGCTATAACTCGGGATGTACTGCAGCGCTGTAGTGTCTTGAATGTATTACAACCGAGGAACTCACTGACGGTGAGGCCTGGGGGATCGTTGATCTAAGCGTCATGCTTATTGAGAGCAAATTAGGCAGGCACGTTTATTCGACGATAAAGTTCTCTTGATACAGGTCATTTTGAAGAGACGAGCAATACAGGCAGCGACTACGGTGTATGGACGCAACAAGCGCCGGAACCATCAGCCGGGGAGCAAAAGAAGTCGGGAAATGATAGTAGTCGACGAGCGAAAAGGGTCCAGAACAAAAAAAAAACGAAAATGAATGAGGTCCAAGTCTGGCACAAATAAAAGAGACGAGAAGAGGACCGATGCACGTTCAAGCACTACAACGCGTTCGTGCTCCTTAGAAACATTTGTTAGCTTCATTTCCTCATTCAGCTTGCTCTTTCTCAATTTTCCCCATTTGGAGCTCCAGGATGCGGTTCTCCAACTTTAGAATTCTCTCCCGACTCTCGCTGAGAGCAAGCTGCAGCTCTTGCGCCGTCTCTTCCGCCTTTTGGATCGCCTTGTGACTTTCGTTGAAGATGAAGTCCATGATCCTCTCGGCCTTGGTACGACCGTAGAGGTTGAACACTTCGACCAGGGCTTCAGCCGTAGCACGTTCGGATTCACTCTTCTTAATCTCTTTGTCGATTCGATCACCAGTGGCCATTTCTAGAGCGATCGAAACCCGATCGGCTTGAATACGAGCCTCCATGTGGTTCTTGATGATCTCGTTTATGGCTACGAGTGCCATTGGAGAAAAAACTAGTCTAGATTCAGCCGGGTCAAGCTGGGAACGCGCTAGACACTTACCGGCGCCTTCCATATCGGAAATCTTGGTACCTATATATATCTTCGTAAACATATTGTTAAATATCACTTCAGGTGCTCACGTTTCGCTCCCCTCTTTGAGGAAGCATTGACACTGGGTGAAGTCAGTTGGTTGCTCGTGGTGCCTTCGTCCTTCGTGGCCGGGGTGCTTTGGTTGGCGGTCGCAGCGTTGCTTGTGTTCGACTTAGGCGCGCTAGCCGTGGCCTTGGTGGTGGTCGTGGTTTTGGATTCCGTAGTCGCGGCAGGGTTGGAGGCGCTTGTATGCGCGATTGCTTCGATTTCTTGAGAACTTGCATCTAGAGCCACGGTAAGGGGTAATACTACCGCCAGAAGCGAGTACTTACTCATGATGTCTACTCGAGCAACAGGGGAGCTTGTCTAAAGGCTAGTGAGCACAAATCACGTAAATTATGGGAATAGCCTACTTGCTCGAAGCCACTACCAATCCCCACAGAGCCTATTGGTCGTGTAAGAGCGAATAGAATTTGCGGGTGATAGAAACTTGCTTATTTTCTTTTTAATCGCCGCGTGGCGAGGGGATCCAGGCTGAGGAGTGGGACTTGATTCTGACGCAGCAGATACGTCGGGAGCTTGAGGTCAGGTTAGCGCGACTCAAGAAACACACAATGTATGCATACACTCGCTGCGAGCCTTCTTGCGGCGTGGAATCTGCGATGGACTGACGGGGCCAGGGATAGCCACGCTTGATCGTTTCTGCGTCCAACTTCACTTAGCATGGATAAGTGAATGAATAATGAGCTCGTACTTGTGGCGGCATCTCTGCAGGACGAGAAAAGGCAGTTATTCGATCCTAGTGAGAACAATGTAGAGAGAGAGGGATGTGGCTCAATCTCCGGATAAATACATCCGCCCTTTATCCTCCGGCATTTGTTGTAATCTGTTGGTGGCGCTGTGCGCGGACCACCACGGGTCGCGTGCACGTGATCATCCAAACAGCTCGACGGCCATACAGGATCGAAAAATGTGTTTTAGCCCGGGTTTGCTAGGAGGGAATACTATAATACTTGATAGGGCTCATGGGGAGGCATATATTCATCATGACGCCCTCCTAACTGGGATATCGCAACTCCTGGCAACGGCTGAGGTTTCCGCACGACCATTGACCGCTTGGCCAGCGTTTGAGTACTTTGTCGTTCATAAGCCCATCGAGGTGCAAATAACACAAAGCCTATGAATTCAAGTCCAGGACTATGGCACAAAGGATCCCAATCAAATCGATTCTCTGCGGCGAACGAAAAGACGAACAATGCGTTGGATATATGCATGCCATCTTGCGCCATTCGATTTCATTCCCCCATGACCGTTCCCCTCGCAGCTTAACCTGCAAATTCAAGCCTTTTGAAGCCCCAGTATTCGGCTAAGCACTCGAGTAAAATTATTCCTCCTGTGTTGTTTCGACTCGCGTGCGATGTGGTTTTTGCATCCAGCTGTTTTACGTTGTTGCGACGGCGGTAATCATTGACTCATATGGTTCGGAGTAACAGTCCCTAAGCTTGGTATGAAAATATTGTTTTTCCCTCCTCGCAAAGTTTTACCAGCGTTTTGTCGTCCATCAACCATTGCTTTGGGGCCAAGCATACCAAGTCTCGGAGTGGTGGCACCCAGTTCCTGCCTCATCTGAAACTCACCCTACGTTCTACTGAGCAATCCAATCTAGTAGAATATGGAAATGATCACGCTGGTGATATCAAGACTTGGTCACGCTCCATCCAGTAGTAATAGCCTTGGGTCCGCCGAAGAGCTCGTCGTTGCTCAATCCTTCGGTGAACTTGATAGGGCGTACAAGAACCGATACAACCAGGGACTAGTGGAAGGCTTACCTGATATTTTTCCTCCCACCATGTAGCGCGTATAACCAGGTTGAGGACCAGGACTTGATCACGCCTCGTGTATTTCTCTGGGAGGTCCAACTTTATTAACTCGCAAGGCTCTGTCACAGGACGCGTATATATAGGCTTCGTATGGACCATCGTGAGACTTGTGGCTTACAAGGGTCGTCACTGGGCTGAGCAGGAGCAGCCATATGCAATCGTTTTTGTGCCTTGTTCGCACTTTTCAAATAAATAATGAGAGAGAGTAACTAGTTGTTGATGGGTGCATGACTGGAACGTGAGAAATGGCAGTTGTTGAACGCCGTGGAGGTGGTAGAATGTGATGCGATTTGATCCTTAGCGAATGCATCCGATGTGCATACTCGTGTTCCGATATGTGTTATATCTTGACCCACCCGAGTGGCGCAGGGAATGAACTCAGCGATCATATAATTTATTATC